CACTTCATCTTTTTCTCTCTTTTTCCTCCTTCCCTCCCTCCCTTCCTCCCACCCTCCTTCCCTCCCTTCCGCCCTCCATCCCTCCCTTTCTTCTTCCCTTTCTCTTTATTCCAAGCTCTCCTGGCCAAGTCTTCCTTCCTTCATGACAGATTATCTCTGTGTGGTTCAGGCTGGCCTCAGATTCGCAGCAGTCCTTCTGCCTCCCACTTTTTTCATTTCTAACCACATTCATTTAAGCTTTTACTGGTAAGACTGACTAAGGTTTGCCTATTTTATTCTTTCAAAGAAGCAGCAGCTCTTTGATTGACTAATTTTATATATTTTAGTGTCAAATTTATTAATTTCTGGTCTGATCTTTTAATTTCCTTCCTTGTACTAGCTTTGGATTTAGAGATTTCTTGTTTTTCTAGGACCTTGAGATTCATAATTAGCTTATTCAGGCTGTTTTTCTGGTGGTGTAATTCATTCCTGTAAGCTTCTCTCTCAGGATTTGCTTTGTGCCCCGTATATTCTGGTATCTTGTATTGGCATCACTGTTTGATTCCAGGAACTCTCTAACTTCTTGCTTGATTTCTCCTTTGGCCATTGATTATTCAAGCAGGTATTGTTTAATTTCCATAAATTTGCATAATTTATGTGCTTTTGTTTGCTATTGATTCCTTGGTTCATTGCATTGTGATCTGCTAATCCGCGTCATATAATTCAATGTTTTTGCACTTACTTAAACAGGCTTTATGGGGATAGAGAAAGTTTTGGAGAAAGTCACATGTGCTGCTGAGCGGAATGTGTATTATGCTGTTGGGTGGAACGCTATAGATAGGTCTATAGTTCATTTCTATAAAGGTTTGCTTCAACTCTGATAATTTTTTGTTGATTTTTTTGTGTGTATGTGTGTGATACTGGGGTACTGAGGTCCTCCACTATATTTGTTTCTGTTTATCTAATCTCTTAGGTCCAATACTGTTTGTTTTGTGAAGATGGGGATACTGGTGTTTGGTGTGTCTATGCTTACAATTTTTACCTTTTCATTTTAAATTTTTCCTTAGCTAATATGTGAACATTGTTGCTTCTTTGATAAGTTTGGCTTGAAGTCCTTTGTCTAAATATAGGATAAATACTCCTGCTTATTTTCAGGTTCTTATTGAGTGGAATATTGTTTTCCATCTTTTGATGGAATTTTAGCTTGTGAATTCTTTTTTGATTAAATGTGTTTCTTGTATACAACATATTATTGGGTTTTGTTTCTTTTTATTTCATTCTATTTTTTAATGTATTTAGTACAGCGCCTGCAGGGTCTCACTACACAGATCTGGCTCGTAGTGGTCCTCCTGTTTTCACCCTCCCAAGTGCTGGGATTATAGACATGCGCCACCATGCCTACTCTCAATCACTGTCTCAGTGTGCCCTGGGGACGGGGCCGCACAATGCTGGGGTCCCTGTGTCTGCCTAAGCAGGTGCTTTAATCCACTGAGCTATCAGGCCGGCCCTAGGTTTTATTTCTTGATCTGTCTGTCAATCTTTGCCTTTTGATTGAGGAATTAAGACCTCTCACATAGAGTTATTACTGAAAGTATTGGCATATCCCTGTCATGGTATTGTTTCCCTTTTCCTGATTCACTTTTCTTCATTGTTCTGTTTAACTGTTTGTCCTGCTGATGTATGTAATCCTTCTACTAGGTGTTTCACATGTTAGGCTTTATTGTCTGTTTCTAAGATGTCTTTGAGAATTTTCTGAAGTGCCGCTTTGGTGGTCATGAATTTCTTAGGGTGGTTTTTGGTCACAGAAATACTTTCTATCTATGTCAATTTTGAAGCATAGTTTTGCAGGATGTTTCAGTCTGGGTTGGAAATTGTTTTCTTTTAGAACTTAAAACACTTCATTCTGCGGGGGATACAGCTTAGCAGCCTAAGTGTCTGCCTGGCAAGCTCAAGGTCCTGAGTTTGATACCCAGTACTACACACACACACACACACACACACACACACACACACACACAGCAACAAGAAACCCACTTCGTTCCAAGCTTTCCTGGCCTTTAAGGTTTATGATGAGGAGTCTGAAGTAATTCTAATGGGTTCATTCTTATAAGTAATTCGTTAGTTCTCTACAACAGCTTTTAAGATTCTGTCCTTGTGTTGGACTTTGGGGATTTTAACTACAACGTGTTGTGCAGTTCTTTTCTGATCATGCCTATTTGGGATTCTGTGTGCCTTGCTTGTATTTTTATTAATGTCTTCTGTACATCTTCTGTCAGCTCACTGAGCACATAATTGATCTGCTTTTTAATCTCCCATTTTATCACTGAATAATTCAGCTGTGTGGGCTTTGATCTTCTCCCCTTAATGCTCCAGGGATCAGGTCTGAGAGAGTTGGAAATTTCTACAGGCATTTTGTGGCCTTATTTCCTATGTTTATATTTTTTCCTGAGACTTTTGGGTCCTTATGATGGAAACACTTTGCTACTAACACGGAGAGCTCTGTAGTTAGTCTGCTTCTCAGTGGTGCACTCTGGGGATGGCTAACTGTAGGCCTTTGTCTCTGTCCCAAGGTCTAAGCGCCTCCTTTCATTTTGGAGGGGATGATGCTGTGCACTTAGCCCAGAACCCAGTTCTCTTGGCCTGGACTGCGCTCTTGTTGATGACCCAAAAGCAGTCTGCATATTGGCCTAAGGAAAAACCTATCAATAGCTATCGTGATGTCATGTTATCAATAGCAAGAAAATCAGCAACAATAATAGAATCAAAGACAAACTGGGCACTGGCATAGCAGAAGAACCAATAATATATCATCAAAACTCACAGAAAAGAGACCTATAATTGTACTATAAACACTAAGACTAAATGTTGATGTATAGTAAGTGTCTACTAAATTTAACAACTATTAACAATAGAAAAGAATTCAATAGCAATAGCATAGAGTTAAATAAAGATTAGTTATGCTGAATGGTTATATTAGTAGAAATAGAGAATGTAGGGGGTGGGAGAATAAAAGTTTAAAAATTTGAAAAAGTAAATGAAACATGACAAGGAGGAGAGAAAAGTGAGATAAAGGATCCTATTGAGTAAAATGAAATTAAGCAAGTTAGATAAAACTAATCAAAAAGAACAAACGATAATAAGAAAAAAAGAGATGATATTTTTTAAAAAAAGAAAAAGGAAAAACCACTCCTCCAAAAACCAATGAAGAGGAAGGAAAAAATATAAAGAAAAAATTAGCTTAAAAATCCTCTGTAGGGGCCAGGGATATAGCTCAGTGGCATAATCTCCTACCTGGCAAGTACAAAGTCCCAAGTTTGATCCCTGGGCTGCAAAAAAATATAAATCCTCTGTAGCTAGGCATGGCGGTGCATGCCTGTAATCCCAGTACTTGGGACACTGAGGCAGGAGGATCACTGTGAGACCAACATGGCTACAATGTGAGCTGAAGGCCAGCCTGAATTACATAGCGAGACTCTGTCTCAAAAGAAAAAAAAATCCTCTGTGAAGCCCGGCGTGGTGGAGCATGCCTAGAATCCCAGCACTCAGGAGGCTGAGGCAGGAGTATTGCCATGAGTTTGAGGCCAGCCTGGGATACATAAGCCAGGCTGAACTACGTAGCAAGACCCTGTCTCAAAAAAAGAAAAAAAAACCATCCTCTGTGTTTTTGAATAAATAAAAATTTTCCCCCAACATCCAGAGTGTTGAAATTCAGTAGGTTATGGTTTTCTCCACATACCTTTATAGCCCATGGGGAGGTAAAGTGCCCCATGTTCCAGCAGTCCCTCTATTCATTTATTGCAGACTGCCGCAGCTGCCTACACCAGAAGGTGTCCCTGCTCACACTGGTAGCGTGATGCAATCGTACCTCTGATTCGCGCTGGCTGTAGGCAGTAGGATGAATGTTCACCCAGACTGCTAGACCTAAGGCCTGCTCTTGCAGACCCAGCTGCCTGTGTGAGCTGCAGATGCAGGGCCTGGATTCTGGCCACAGAGGGTGGTCCCTTGGGCTCTCCTTGGCTTGTGCCTGAATTTCTGGGGGTGGCAGTGTCTCAGTGTAGCTTGCACCCTCTTTGTGACTAGAGGAGGGTAACACTGGGAACGTTGAAGTAAAGTTGTTTTGTGGCTCAGTTGTAACTAATCATCCCCTCCCTGGACGGCATGTGATTAAATATTTACTGGAAAAATGGCAGACGCTGCTCTGTGTTCTTCTCCAGCTCTTGCCTGCCATACAGGAGCCACTTTTGAAATAAAACCCCAAACTGTTTTTGTAGTTTACAGGAACCATGGGCTTTTCTTAGAATTAGTGCTGGAGGTCTGGTCCATTCTTTGTCCCTGGAGCCTCCAACGCTGGCAGAGATAGGTTCCCTGTGTCTACAGGGGCAGGTGCACCTCCCCAGGAAAGGATGAGTTTCCAGAAGGTCTTGTTATTTTCTCTGCATTCTGTCCCATTTCTACAGCTTCTCTGTAGCTTCTGATTTTCCTGTAAGTTCCTTCATAACATCCAGAGATTTGCTTATTATTTTTCTTTTTGCCAATTTCTTAATTTCCAGGTTTCTGAATTCCAAGTCTCAGAGAAGCTGTATTTTGATCACTACTTGGCTATTTCAGTTCTATTTATTTATTTATTTTTTGGCCAGCTCAGCCCACCCTGAGGGCGAGGCTGGCTCAGCATGTGGTGCCGGGGATCAAACTGTGGTCCTTGCACCTGCCTTAGCTTGCCTAAGCAGGTGCTTTAGACTGCTGGGCTAGCTTGTCAGCCCTAGGCTCCATTCTTTTAATATTTACAGCATATATTGCTAAGGTAACTGGGACCCCTCTCCCAAACAGGTAGACATTAAAGATCGCATCCTGGAAAATTTCAGATGCCTGAATTTTTATCTCAGTTTTAAAACAGCCCTTAAGTGTTTTCATTTGCAAGAATTAAACTGAATTGTAGGCCTCTCTGCCTAAGCCTTTCTACTCTACCATATCTTTCACCTTCAAGAACTGAAACCAGTGATTTGTTTTCTTTCCTGTTCCAGTCTGAAACAGATGCCTTTTAGGAAAAACAGTTTTCAGATATGTGCAAAGAAACAATAGCAGCTGACAGCACGTGTTGGACTACCAGAGGTCTAGATGGAAGTTTCTGGATCATCTGCCGCAGAACTCTGCTTAACAGACCCAGACGCTGAGAGCCAGTGAGTGGAAATGACTCATTTAAGACCAGTTTGGAACTGGATATTCATTACCTTCCCTCGAACATGCTCTCCGACATTCCGTCTTTGCTCCACCCCCTTTCTCCAGAAACCGGGAATGCTATGGAGCCAGGCGGGAGGAAGGTAAACAGCAAAGGGCCCGTCAGGTAGACCTGAGGCTGCAGACGGCGAATTGGAGGTCGGTCATAGATTGCTCGGTATCGCCGGTCCCTTTCCTGGTCTCACAATACTGCTGTGTATTTACAGTAAATAATGTGGTGTTTTGACACATATATACTTTATGAAATAATTACGACAAAGCTAATTAAAGTATTCATTACTTGATATAGTTACTTTTGTTGTATATGGCAAGAAACGTGAGAAGACCCAATTCTCTCAGTAGATTTCAGGAACACAATAAATTAACTGTAGACAGTTAGCTTATTTATCCTGCATCACCGAAGCTTTTGTCCCTTATTAACATCTCACTTCCCAAACGCTGTGTTCTGCCTCCTGGCAGCTGTCACTGCAGTCTCTGTTTCCTTGCGATCAACTATTTTAGATCCCACATGTAAGGCAGCTCATGCAGCATTTGGTGTATTTTACTTAGCATAATGTCCTCTCGGTTCATCCACACTGTCATAAATCACAGCACATTCTTCTTCTTTTTCTTTTTAGCCTTTTTTGATCTTTTGAGACGGGAGCTCACTTAAGCCCCCACCCGTCCTCCCACCTCCTTTTCTGTGTGCTGGGATTATAGGTCTGTGTCACCATAGGCAGCTCCTTTTTTTGTAAAGCTGGGTAATATGCCATGGCTTTTGTGTGCGTGCCCATTTGTGTATCACATTTTCTTGATCCATGCTTTCATCGATGGATGCTTATTTTGATTCAACACCTTGAGCATTAGGAGTCGTGTAGCAGTCAACATGAGTGCATAGATCTCTTTGACTACTGATTTCATATCCTTTGGGTATGTACCCAGTAGAGGGATTCTAGGTCACATGATGGTTTTATTTTTAACTTAAGAAACTTCTGTACTGTTTTCCACATGACCATACTAATTTACATTCCCACCAAAAGTATAGGAGGATTTAGTTTTCCTTGCTTCTTCACCAACACTTGTTATATTTTGTCTTTTTAATGATAGCCATTTAAACATCTCCTTAATAGTTGTGTTGAACCCTTGTCCATTCCCATGTCTTCTTCTGAGAAGTGTCTGTTAGGTCTTTCACCTGTTTCTTACATCAGGTTTTTTTGCTACTGAATTGTATTAGATCTCCTCATACTTGAGATAACAGCCCCATGACGTATGCATGGTTTGTGGATATTTCTCCCTTCTGTAAGTTGTCCTTTCACCTGGTTGCTTGCTGTGCCCCACAGAACCTCTTTATCATGATGCAATCCGTTCGTTGGTTTTGCTCTGTGCCTTTGGAATCATACTTAAAAACACTGCCTAGGCCCATGTCAAGACGCTTTTCTCTAATAGTTCTACAGTTTCAGGGCTAATATTTAAAACTCTATTCCAGTTTGAGTTGGTTTTGTATGTGGTATGAGGTAAGGGTTCAGTTTCACTCTCTGTATGTAGATACAGTTTTCCTAAGATCATTTGTTAAAGAGAAGAGAGCTGGAGATGACACCTGAGAGCACAAGGTCCCGAGTTCAAATCCTGGTATCAAAAGGGTTCCTGCATTAAAAAATTATTTATCTTTAGCCAGGCATAGAGACACCTTAACTCATAAAGATCCTCATTTTTGATGTTTGAAACCTTGATTATGTCTTAGTAAAGAATCCTTTGCCGTAAGCCAGAGCCCAGGCTCCTCTAGCAGATGTAGAAGTTGGTAACGCCTCCAACCCTATGATCAAGTGCCCTCGGGAGTGCCGCAGTAGAGCCGGCGTGGATACACTATTTTGGAACTAGCCTCATTTTTCAGCCCGTTCAGGCAGAGGGCCATCTCCAAGGTGCGTTGTATAGTATGGTCCCACGGGGCAGCCTCGCCACTGCCCGCCTTTCGCCTGGGCTTTGCTGCCTGTGCAGGAAGTGGCTTCATTCAGAGCTTGCCTCCCGAGAACATTGGGCAGCTGCATCTAGCACGCCTGGAGGGCTGTCGGGGTGCTGTGGCTTTCATGGGGCGCGCTTTTCCGGGGCTAGTGCCTGTCTCAGGTCAGCTGTGTTGGAAGCAAAACCTGAGAAATGTTTTCAAAGGGAAGAGAAGCAGGATAGGTCGAGGAAGGGGACTCACTAAGCATATGGCTTCGGCTGATGTCTAGCTTCAACCGGATCCCACGGTGAGCTCCGAAGCACAAATTTTCTCAGAGAATTGGTTCCACCTTGAGATAAGGGGGCTGGCCCACCACACAGGTAGCCCCACCCCTGACACCTCCTGGTCATTGGCCACGGGCTACACAAGTCAGTGTGTGTGTGTGTGTGTGTGTGTGTGTGTGTGTGTACATAGCTCCCTGAGTGGGGTCACAGCCCAGGTCAGGTCGTCTGCTCTTTGTCCCAGTACCATCCCCCCAGAAGGAATGGCTCTGAGTTGATGAGCCAGCTCTCCTCATGGCGGGGAGTAACTACCTGCCTAAGTCCACAGGCCACTGAAGGGCTTAGGGCACCAGCAGCCGTTTGAATCACAACACCATTACTGGTGCCTAGAGGCCATGTTTTAATTAATGCATTTACTTAATGAATAAAGGCAAAAATCACCCAACAAAGTAGTTCTGTAGTTCCTGGCAGTGCATGGCTGACGCAGTACCACCCTATGTCAGGGTCTTTTCGTTCTGCTGAATGTCAAGCCCACAATATCAGCTCATAGTCACTGTTACGATCCACAGTATTTTCAACAATTGAGTCTGAGAGTGTGACCGATAGGTGGCACCAGAAACACCCTTACTTGTTTAAACTAATGTATAGTGTTTGTAGGCTTTGTGCCAAAAATTCAATCCCTTTCTACTTAGTTTTTGTTGTTGTCATTGTTGTTGTTCACATTCAATAGGGACTCTTAGCTTTGAATCCAACCCAAAACTTGGTAGCTTACAGTTTCTTATTTTCTACTTCACTTCTTATAGGCTTGAGTGTGGAAAAAAAATGGGGTGGTAGGGCTAGTGAATAAAGAAAGAAAACATCTATTCATTAGCAAAAGGAAGGAAAAAAGGACTGGAGTCCTACATCCCTTTCCTTCAAGGTCTCTTGAGTATATAAATGCTGAAGATTATTAGGAAATATTTGAATAACAGGATAAAAAGTCAAGGATACTGCCTACAAAACATGAACTTTATTCCCCACTGCAAACAGACTTGGATGGCAACCAAGTTGCTCAAGGATCGCCCTGGCCAGTATTTGACCACAAAGTTCCAAATCGGGAAAGGACTCTGAATCCAGCGTCCACCATTTTCAAATTTGTTTCTTTTGAAGTTCGTGCTTTATTGTTGATGAAGGGAAGCCAAGGGGGAGGGGCGCTCACTCCATCTTCCAGTTTTCCCGACAATCCAGCCTTGCATTCTTTTCCTACTGCACACCGTTCTTAAGAGCAAAAGCACTAAACTGAGAATTAAACTACAATGCACTTAATGCTTACTAAGTATTTTGGCCATCATTATTTAACCCTTCCAACCACATAAAAAATTGGGATCCTGTGTCTCAAAAGGGTCATTAGACCAGCCAGGACCCCATAGCCCAACTTGGCTTCTCTAACCCAAGGCTATGGCGAAGGCTAAACCTGGAGGTGCTGCAGGCTCATTCGGCAAATGTGGACACGTCATTTCTTTCACCTTGCTAGGCTTCAGCTTCATCTGTGACCTAAGGGGCTGGCCTGCACAGCCCCAGCACACCTTCCTGCCAGAAAACTCCAGAGACTGAAAAGTACGTGTTGAGTGTAGTGTCTTGTGTACTGATCGGGCGTGGAGGTGGGGCTTGGCACAGTTGTCCGTAGGAAGGGAGGGGAGAGCTCACTTTGATAGTGTTCCAAAGTGGAAGGTGACACAGCTATTATACAATGCGTTAAACAGTCTGGTTCTTGTGTTTTGGGGGGAAAGTAAATACCTGGTCCTGATTAGCCTTTCCTATACCTGTCACCAGCCTATTATACCATAAACATTGTGCCTCTGGGAGCTTTTCTTTCTAAATGAAGTGTCCCAAGGTTTGGAATTTCTCATTACTAGCATGCTCTTCTGACCTGTATACTGAAAATTACTTTCACTGCCCTTCTCTACGCTTTCACTATTTTTGTTCTGCCTCTTTGACAGCAGGGCTGATGAAGGAAGTTTGATTGCTTGTTTGTTTTACTTTTTTACTTGAAAGATAGAGGCAGTGGACTCCTCAGGGATACCTACAGATTCTTTGCTCAAATATATCTCCATAGTGTAAACATAAAAGTCAGAAAAGAAGAAGCAAAGAATCTGACCTTGCTTGAGTGCCTGTGATGTGAAAAGTCCTCTGCTAGTTTCGCTTGCTGTCTTATCTCCCTTTGTCCCCAGCACAGGAAAGTGCTGTGGAATGGATATGTGCCCAGGCCCTTAGGCACACGGAGCTGGCTTCTCGTCAGAGCTTTGATTCTGCCTCACTGTGTGACACTGGAAATTTACATGAACTCCCTAGACTTTTTTTCCTTGATGAGGCAACATATGTAAAATCCTTAATGTTACCCAGTCTGTGTTCCAAGACTGTCAGCTAGCATCATTATAATCACCCCAAAAGGCAGATCTCGTTAACCTTACCCCAGATCTCATTAACCTTACCCCAGATCTCAAAATGCCTACAGTTCTAAGAAGTTAAGTAAGACATTTTCAAACCCAAATTGCTCTGACACCAATGTGGATACTTAGCTCCTCTTCCTCAAAATCCTTCTTACCTCAGGAAAACTACCCTATTCCCTGCCCTCCAGCCCCACTTGGTTTTGTTATAACAGACCTAACAGAGGTAAAGAGTAAATTCCTGCCCTGAAAGGTCTAGTTCAAATCTCAGTCATGCCATTTAGTAACTGTGTAGCTTCTGACAGGCTCTTTAATTTTTCTTCTCTTTTTTTTTTTTTTTTTTGCCAATCATTATATCTCTTTATTGGTTTTTCTTAACTTTATTGATAAACAGCAGTGAGACAGTTTCAAATCAAATCAGTAGAACAGTTTCAATATCTTTAATTTTTCTGTACCCTCGTTTCTTCATTTATCAAATGGGAATGACAAAAAGTCTTGCCACTTGGG